ATGTGAATTTCTAAGATTATTTTCTTCAGGCAGCAAAATATCCTTAGGGTTTATCAAAGTCATTGTGTATCAACAGTTCATTTCTTTTCATGGCTGTATATTATCTTATCCCATAGTGTGTATTATTAGTCCAGTGTGTATGCAGCATAATTTATTGAGCTAATCACCTGTTGAAGGATATTTGGGTTGCCTCCAATTCTTGTCTGTTATGAACAAAGCTGTCAGTTACTGCTGTACTGTTACTACAAACACTGGTGACCAGGTATTTGTGTGACTATTGCTTTTCATTCCTCAGGCATAAATGCCCACGAATACAATTGCTGAATTATCTAGTAAGTACAGACTTAGTTTTTAAAATGCCAAACTATTTTCCAGAGTGACTGGACCATTGTAAGTTCCCACCAACATATGAATAAACCATTTTCTTCCAATCCTAGGATTTGGCTTATAGCTATTCTAAATTTTAGCCACTTTGGAAGGTGTATAGTGATACTTCACTGTGGTTTTAAAGTGCATGTCTCTTAATGGTTATGGGGGCTGAACCTCTTTCATGGGGTTGCTATATATCTATCCTCTTGGGTAAAATATCTCTTTGAGATGGTTTACCCATTGGCTTCCTCACTTCCTTCTTTCCATCTCGTTCTCCCTCCTTCCTTCCCTTCTCTCTTTCTTCTCTCTTCCTCCCCACCCTCATTTTTGTGCCACTACAGATCAAACTCAGGGCCTGGCACATGCTTGGTAAATGCTCTATCACTGAGTCACATCCCCAAACCTTGTTTGACTATTTTATAGTTGAACTGTTTTGTTTCTTTGTGGTTGAGTTCCCAGAACTTTAATATTCTAAATACAATTGCTTTGTCAGACACATGATTTGCAAATATTTTTCCCTGTATACAGCTCGTTTATTCACCTTCTTAACAGGATTCCACAAGCAAAATCTTTCAGTTGTGATGTGGTCCTATTAATATATCAGTTTTTCCTTTTATGGATTGTATTTTTGGTGTCAAGCCTAAAAACCTTTTCCAGGCCCTTGGAAACAAAGATCTTGTTTTTTTTTTTCCTAACAGTTTTATAGATTTATGTTTTACATTTAAATCTGTGACTCATATTGAGTTACCTTTTGTATAAAATGTGAGGTTCAGGTTGTTCGAGTGCTCTAGTGCAACTCGTCGAAAGCCCTTCCTTTCTCCATGGAATTGCCTTTGTATCCCTGTTAAAAATCAGCTGGAGGGGCTGGGATTGTGGCTCAAGAGGGAAGAGTTCTCATCTAGCATGCATGAGGCACTGGGTTCGATCCTCAGCACCACATAAAAATAAAATAAAAATATTGTGTCCACCTATAATTAAAAAATAAATATTTAAAAAAATCAGCTGGGACATCTTTATGTGCTTCTGATATTGTACCCCAACAGTAAGTCTTAACATGGGGTACAATGATCCTCACATTTATTTCCTCCTTTCCAAAAGAATTAGAGTTATTCCAGAACATTTGTCTATTACACTTGTCTATATCTACAAAAATATCTTGTGTTTTTTTTTGAAAGCTTTTTTTTTACTATGGTAAGATATTTTTAACATAAAATTTACCATTTTAACATTTTTTTTAGAAAGATGATAGACCCAACCTGGTTTTCTCTTAAAATTGGGAGCCATCTCTCCACAAAGCCATGAAAAGATAATTTTGGTTTTACTACAAATTACTGCAAATTCTGAACCTGCTTGGAATGTCTGCCCATGCCTTGAACTCACCCATGCCTGGCTCTCCAACCAGATAGCAGCCCTCTCTGAAACTTTAGTGACGCCTCATAAATCTTGGCTTTCCCTGGCCAGATAACGACCCTCTCTGAGTCTCTAATAACCTTCATAAATTCTGATGTCGGGGGCCAGCAAAAATGTAAACTAGCCTTTGTGTTATGCTCCTCAGAGTTTTGTTATCTGTAACCCTCCTTTGTGTAACTTTCTGGGCTATAAACTGGGCTGCAAGAAAGCTGCAGTGCTGTCTTGTTCCTGCGGTTTTTGTTGGGAGAGGCAGCCTGGCTGGTCGAAATAACAAGCTTGCTTTAATTTAATTTTAATTGGAGTCAGTGGTCTTTTCTTTTTGTCCTGATCTAACAATGGGGTCTTACTAGGTACCCAGGATAGCCTTGAACTCTTAGACTCAAGCTATAATCCTGACTCAACTTCCTGATTAGCTGGGATTAAGGGTGCATGGCTCCATTTTAACCATTTTTAAGTGTATGATTCAGTGGCAATAAGAACAGTCACAATTATGTACAACAAACACTCTTATCTACTTCCAAAGCTTTTTTTCATTACCCCAGATAAAAATTCCATAATAACCCTAAAGCAGTAACTCCCCCTTTTCTGTATTTCCCAAGCCACTGGTAACCTCTAAACTCCTTCCTTTCTATAAGAATTTGTGTATTCTAGATACTTCCTGTAAGGGGAAACATAATATTTTGTCCCCAATGACTGGCTTATTTCACTTAGCATAATGCTTTCCAGGTTCACCCTTGTTATAGCAAGTGTCAGAGTTTCCTTTCCGTTTCTTCTTTCTTTCTTTCTTGTTCCTGGTGCTAAGGGTGTTGTGCATGGTAATCATTTGCTCTACTACTGAGCCACACTCTCAGCCCCTTCATTCCTCTTTCAGGCTAAATAATATTAAATTGAACATATATGCCACATTTTTGTTTATCCATTCATCTGTTGAAGGACACTTGGGTAGTTTACTGCTTTGGGCTATTGGGAATAATGCTGTTACGAACTTGTATACAAAAAAAGCATTATTTAGGCACAGATGTTGCCAAGATTGCATAAGAGAATAGTGTGAACACCGTAAAAAAATTGATATCTAGAAAAAATTACCAAAGTGATTCAAATAGAAAGAGAAAATCTAAAACAGCCTACAGAAGTTGATACAGAACAAAATATCTCCACAAATAAAACACTAGAATCAATTGACCTTATAGGGGGTGGGTATTCATGTAATCCTAATCTGATTTCTCTTCCAGAGATGAGAAAGAACACTCCTCAAGTTATAATTATTAAAAGTTAGTTTTATTTGCACTTGATATCAGAACAATGACATGAACATAAAACCAAAATTATCAGATATTCTCACTCATGAAATTTATGCAAAATTCTAACCAAGATATTAGCAAACTGAACCCAGCTATGTGTAAAGTAAGGAAATTGTACATCATGCCCACATTGGGCTTATGTCAGGAATGTAAATTATTTCCAGGCCCTAGCTCCTGCAACAGGGTGACCTTTGGGTCATGTGCACAAAGAACCCAAGACTTGGAGAGGCCCTACAATTTGCACAGGAGTCACAGGGTGACTGGCAGTGCTGTTCACTGAGAAAGAAAGAGTGACAAGTTGCAGCTAAGAGCATGAGAGCAATTAAGTGTCCAGTGCAGGGAACTTGTAAATATCCCAGTTGAGATGTCTAGCAGCACCAAAGGATCCTGCTGTGCGTCCACCTATAGCTGGGCTGCAGATGGCATGGAGAACCCCAGCACAGACATGGCACAAGTCCTAAAGTGGGATAGAATTACCCAGGGAAGCTGGGCGCAGCAAAGAAAGAAGAGGACCAGTGTTTAAAGAAGAGGACTCCCTAAAGAGGCTGGCCCAAGAAAAGGGAAAGAAAGGAACAGGGAGGCAAGAAGGAAAGTGACTCAAGTCAGACAATGAGAAAGAAAAGGAGCCTAAAGAATTCAGTCACTGGGATGCCGTGTGACAGGGAAGAAGCCAGACTGCTGGGGGATGACAAACGAATAGAGATGAGAAACAGAAATAGGGATTGCGGCCCTTGCTTACAAAAAGACTGGCTGAGGAGAGAAGCAGAGAGTGTGCAGGAGCCAAGGGAGAAGCAGATCAGAGATGGGCACATGTGCAGACCACTGGACAGGAGGGTGGTAAGCAACAGAGAGGGTGGTGAGCAAAAACACAACAGCGTTCCCATCCTCCACATGCCAGAAAGGAAAAGATGAACTGTCCTTTAGTCACAGCCCTAAGGCATGAAATACAACCACCACAAGTAGCTCCAAACCCATCCTAGGCAACTGCACCACCTGCTTCCAACACTGATAAAGCCCCAGCCCCTGTCCAGCAACCACGCTTCCAGGGCTAAAGGCAAACTATTCCTTCCAAGTCAACCCATCCCTGACCTCCACATTGACCCCAAAATGAAGGAGGCAAGAGCAGGGAGTACTGAGGCCAGGGCTTGGGGAACATGATCATGGAAAGTTCAAATGGGGCCATGAGTGTTGGACAGGAGGGAGGGCCGTGGCCCTCTGAGAGCAGGTGGATGAGGCCACACAGACATGTAGTACCCTTTGGGTCATGTGTACAAAGAACCCAAGACTTGGAGAGGCCCTACAATTGGCACAGGAGCCACCAATCAAATCCACATCCGTCACACTGCAAGGCCTGTGCTCTCATACCCCACCACCCCCTGCCTTCTCCTACAACTAGCTCTCTTGCTTTAAATCCTGATTGCATTTTGGGAAACTTTCCAACATTACTTCCCCCATTCTGGCTCTTGCTGGTTAGAGGTGTGTCTGCTTCCTTTACACTCACATCGTTCATTCCAGAACTGAAATTCTTTGGCCCTGCAGTCTCTTACAAGGCAATTGATTAATGAAGAAATGAATACATAGGGCTGGGGATATAGCTCAGCTGGTAGAGCACTTGCCTTGCATGCACACCACCCTGGGTTCAATCCCAGCACCACCAAAAAAAAAAAAAAAAAAGGAAGAAAAGAAATGAATGCATGTATAATCATCAAATGTGCTATGTGCCAACTTGTTTCCAAAAGGGTCTTTAAATGTCTCTCACAAGGGATACATGATGTCCCCAGCACTCCTTTGCCATAGTTCTTACAAATGCAAAGCAATGCTGACCATTTCATTTACCCCACATTCCACATTACTGAATCTAGGCTCCACTGAAGAGATTCCACCGTCTTTGCATGCCTGAGACCAAAAAGCATACCTTACCTGAATTTTGATGGGCCAGGTGAAATTACTGACATACACAAAGAAAGTGACATTTGGGTGGTTTCGAAAATCAAACTTTTCATTAGAGAAGCTGTCTTTGTACTTCTTAATGTTGGTTTTTGAAACAATAGGCATCTGTTCCTCAGGCTGGGCTCCATCTGTCAGGGAGAAATGAAATAAAATAATGGATTTGCAGGAGGCAGAACTTGCCTTGTTAATAAGAATGAACAGCATTATTAAATACTTACAATTTCTTATGAATAGCCTTTAGGAGTTCAGTCTCCCTAAATCTCATAACCCCATTATCCTTATTTACAGACTAAGAAACTAAGGTTCCAAGAAATTAAGTAACTTGCCTCAGGCTGCAAGGAATGCAGCTGGATTTGATTCTTGGGAGGATGAATCACAAGCTTGTGCCTCAAGTCAGAAGGGTTTTACCAGGAACCTCTGTGACTCCCCACCACCACCCCTGAAACTGGGAACACATGGTCAGGAAATTAGAGACACTAGCAGAGTCCTGTTAACATATGCTATCACTCACTCTGCAACGATGCCTTGATTCCTTTGCATTTCCCCCTAACATCTGTGTGGTGATACTCCAGACCCAGGTACCAGAAACACCGGTTTGCCTCTCACTTCCCATCAGGAGTGGCCTCAAATCTCCACAGGGAATTAGGTGCTTAAGTTGCCACTCAGTCCTGCCTTCTGCTACCAGTTACCAGTGTAATTAAGTCCCCCATCCTCCTGTAACTCATTTGTTCCCAGATGGTTTTTCCTCATTCCAGATTCTCCCTCAGCCAGTGTGAATAAAGACTCACAAAATGCACTCTTTTCCATGTTGAGTTAAACTGTGGGACTACAGCCCCGCCTGTCATGTTTTCATTGAGATGGTCACTGAAAATCTTTTAAGCCCTAATAAACCCCCAAATGACAGCAAAGATTATATTCCTATATTATATTATACCAGTCTGATTAGTTTTTGTGTGGTCAAAAACAAGAGTATTGTAACAGCAGAGACGTTGACAAAACTGAGCTACCATTCTGTGACAACTGCCCATGTTCAAGCATTATATTGAGTACTTCCTTTATCATCTCATGTAATTCCTGCAATACTCTACAAGGTGTTTTTACTGTCCCATTTCCTACACAAGGAAAGTGGCTCAGAAAGCTACTTTCAACAGCACAGTGCAAGTAAATAATAGGCAGAATTGAACTCAGCTCTATTTGTCAAGTTATCATGTTATGCAGTGGTAATGTGTCCTAACCACTACATCAGGGTCATCAAATCTTTAGTAAATTATAGTTAAGGCAAACCAGATAGCAACAGCTATGCTTTCAGAGTTTGGTTTAATTCCCAATGTATGGTTCTCTGTACCTACTAAAATCTCATTTTATTTAAACATTTCCATTTCTTGAAACTGAGTCACTGATATTTTTCCCCTCTGAGGCATGGATCTGGATGTTAAGAACAGTGGCAGAGCAGTGACCACTGCAAGGGTGTGAGTGGTGGTGGTGGTGGGGGGGGTGGGCAGGGAGAAGTGGGGAGCCCCCTACTGAGCCTGAGCCATGGTAGGTGATGGTAGCCATCACCTCATTTAATCTACATTGTTCTAGGAGGTAAATGTTGCTATGCTCACTTTACTGATGAACAATCCAGAGAGGGATTTGGACACTTACTCAAGGTCTCATGGATAATACATGTCAAAACTGAGTTTTAAATCCATTTGTCTATCTCCAGAGCCCCTTTTTCCAATTCCTATATTACAGTTCTCTACCCAGAGCCTCCACTCACAGTGTATTTGCTATGTGTGTCTTTACCTGAGAAGCTGGCAGCCCAGGTGATGTTGAGATTGAAGTTTTTGGAGGCATTGATGAACATGTCCAGATCCCTGTTTTGCTGACGAGAGGTGCAAATAAGTAGAAAATTAATTATAATGATAATTCGATTTTACTGCTCTTGATATATATATATTATAACAGAAAATTTTGCAATGTTTCAAGGGAAACTTATGTTTATAGAGGAGTTAGCAACATTTATAACCAATTTTCCTTAATATAAGCAATATAACTCAGATAAAAATCTTATTTTCCTCCCAGCAATATATATAGGATTCAATGCTTTAGCAGATGCCCAACTGCATGGGAAAAGTACCTTTTAAAAAGGCCCTGTTGAGCACAATGATTTATTCTTCTGACTTGAGGTAGAGGAACCAGAGTCCCCAGGATCCTCAGGGCAGCTGTTTCCAAACATTCAGTGTTTTCACTTGCTAGGAAAATATCTGATCCAGAGTTCTAATTTCTATATATTTCCAATTTCTATATATTTCTATCTTGTCCTTCTGGGTATACCATAGGTTATAATATGGTATAAATTTCCTCACAAACCAGAAGTGCTTTTTTTTAAAAGCATATATAGTACATGATGGTACACATCTGTAATCCCAGCAATTTGGAAAGCTGAGGTAGGAGGATGGCAAGTTCAAGGTAAACCTAAACAACTTGATGAGAGCCTAAAATAAAAATAAAAAAAGGCTGTGGGTGTAGCTCAAAGTTAGAGCACCTCTAGTTCAATCCCCAGTACCACACACACACTCACAAATTTAAAAAGCAAGATATTGGGACAGGGGATGTAGCTCAGTGGTAGCACATTTGCCTAGCATATGTGAGGTCATGGTTCAATCCTGAGTAACACACACACACACACACACACACACACACACACAAAGGTATTAACTTTTGAGAATGTTTTATCACCAAAATGGAATATTAAAAACAAATCTTTCATTTTTTTATAAATATGGCACACCATGGACTTCATTCTTTACTTTTTAAAAATATATTAATGTTTATTGATAACAAAGTAATATACACTTCTTCATTGCCATCTTGTTTCCCATGTATAATTTGTTGATTGTGATAGGAATCTAGTGATGGTAAATGGCTTTGTGTTTGTTCATGAGAAGAAACCCCAAGGAGTTTACTAAATAACTTGCCATCATGTTGAGGAAAATTTCCTTAAACTTCATTAAGGACATTGGACTGGGGGTTTAGCTCAGTGGTAGAGCTCAAGCTTAGTAGGAAGAAGACCCTGGGTCCAATCCCCAGCATCAAGAAAAAAGAAAGAAAAGAAATTGAACAGTGTATCTTCATGTTTGGAATGTTCTACTTTTAAATAACATGCTGTGTTGACTCCTGTCTACCAGGATATAATGCCTTTAGACATAATGGGTTTTATAATTATTGACAATAGACATAAATGCATATTTTAAATAGTCATCCTAACCATTTTAAAATGTTTCTGGTCAATGTCTTTTTGGACCAACTAAACTTTTTCTGTTTTACCTACCAATGAGGCTTCAAATCCCTCCAGCAGCAGAAGGTCACCAAATACCTCCTGTGCTGCCCCCTTATGCTTGCATCATGACATTAATTAATTTCAATCGGGTTTTTGTTTGTTTGTGGTACTGGGGATGGAACTCAATAGTGCTCTGCCTTTGAGCTACATCCACAGCCCTTCCTTTGATTTTATTTTTTTTGAGACAGGATCTTGCTAAGTCACTAAGGCTGGCCTTGAGCTTGTGATCCTCCTGCCTCAGCCTCCCATGTAGTTGGGATTACAGGGGTGTACCACTATTCTCACACAGCAATTTCTTTATGGGTGATTTTGAAGCCACTGGTCCCTTCACCAGCTGCCCTTGAATGATGGAACTCCCCTTTCAATCTCTGAATGGAGCTGTGGTGGGCTGGCAGGAATATTATGTATGTGTGGTATCAGTCTGTGGATCAGGCCCTGGTAAATCCCATAACACCATTCTTGCCTTTTGGATGAAAAGGAGATAAAATGTAGACTCTTTACATTTTTTTCCTGTGCCTCTAAACATCATCCTCTATGCTCCCCTCTGAGACCACTGCTAAGGCAGTACTTCTACCCATGATGACCAAGAGAAGGAGGCGCACAATTCAAAACAAAGTAGGTTTTAAAAATCTTACTTCCTTAGGAGTGGCCACAAAATTGATGGCTGTGTAATAGTGATCCTCTTCCTGGGAGAGGGTAAAAGTGAACTGATAGCCAATAAGAAGAGTATCTATGGACATAAAGAAAGAAACACGCATTTAAAACTGAAACAAAACAAAAATGAACAGGTATCTGGAGATATCCATTGCATTTCTGATAAATTCAATAGCCAAGAAAGGACTTTGACCCACCTCTACCCAGCTTTTCAAAGGAAACCAAGTCCCTCAGCAGTATCATTTTATTTGAGTTACCCACTAAACTTTCTTCCTGTTTTTTCCTTATGGTAGTGGGAATTGAACCAGTAGAGCATGGTGATTTACACCTTTGGACCTGTGTCAGAGGAGCCAGACTCCCAGGATCCCCTGGGCAGCTGTTTGTAAACACTTGGAGTTCACATTTACTAGGAAAACATCTGGCTCAGGGCCCCAATTTCTGTTTATCTATAACTATAAATTTCTATTTATTTATAACATAACAATATTTACCAAATTGTATATATTTACCAATATTTATAAATAGAAGAAATAAATAGAAGTAAATATTGTTATGTCACTTTACAGATGAACAATCCAAGGTCCAGAGCAGAGTTTAGATACTTCCTTAAGGTCTTATAGGTACTAAATATTTTTATTTTTGGAGTTAACATAAATCAGCTCTAGAAAGAATGATGCAACTTCATTTGTATTTTAAGGATTCTGTTTTGATCTATATCCCCAACATGAACAAAGAAATCACTCTGTATTGGCTCCTGCTATCTGCTATAAAAACACTGACATAAACATGGCCACATTTGAACTGCTTCAAAAGCTGGGCACAGTAGAGGCAAATGGACAGTAAGTTTGAGGTCAGCCTCAAAAACTTAGCAAGACCCTGTCTCAAAATAAATAGTAAAATGGGCTGGGGGTGTAGTTCAGTGGTAAAGTGTCCCTGGGTTCAATCCCAAGTACCAAAAAAAAAAAAAAAAAAGGCTTCAAATTGTGTTCATAGGCAAAGCCATAAAGTCGGGAGACAATTCCATGGTGATGGCTATGTTGCTACAGTGCTTACCATTCTCAAACCACATTAAATATTAAAGAACAATGGAATTTTGTCAAACTTCTGCTTCTATATATGAGAATTACAAAAACACTTACAATAACATGTTCCTTTGAGAGGGTTTCCCTGGTATCGATTTTCTACCTCACATCTAAGAGAAAAAAAATAAAATTATCTTCTATTACTATTTAATACAGAATCTACCTTCATTTTAAAATCAAGAAGATCCTTTTATTCAGTCAACATGTAGTTTTTGTTGTTTTCTTTCAATAAAGCTTTTAATGAAAAGATAGTAAAATAGTTTCTCATCACTGTACATTTCTGAATGGAGAGATCAGTTGTTGGTGAGTAGCTTTTCTATGACACTGGAGGGCTACATACCTCCAGCTTCAACCTGAATTTATCCAAACCCTAGAGGGAAGTAACTCAATATGATGAATGACAACAGTGGTGACCAGTATAGGGATGCAATCTTGATGTGCCCCCATCTCTGGGAAGGGTATAAACTAGGTAGGATATAATCCCTCTTCTAGTTCCAATTAAACAAAACAGCCATGACCCCATCCTTTGCCCCCCCTTCCCCCCGGCTTGAGGTATTTGTGAATAGGTAAAAGCCCAACCTGGGGTCTCTTGGAGAAGAGGGAAAGCAAATGATGGGTGGGGTATAGAGAGGCTCCCCTCAGCACCTGGCCACACAGGTTCAACCAAGTGAAGCCAGAGGCCCTGAGGGCCCTTCCTGCCCCAAGTAAGGTTTATTATTTTAGGTCAATAAATAGCAAGGAGAGCTAGGAAGGGGTTAAACTGGGGTGACTGAAGCTGGGGGGATCTTAGGCAGGGGCTTCTAGGCAGCCTCAGTTCCCATAGCTCCCACCCATCCCCTGTATGGAATGTCAGACTGCAGCTCTGGTGAAGACCCTCACAATTCCCTCATTCCTGATATCTGATTCACAGGTTCTGTAACCAGGTCCCCAGTGTGATCTTGTTCCCTTTAGCAGGGATGGTAGGGCTGAGAGTCCCTGTCTTCTATTCTCAGGCCTGGCATCTTTAGTTTTTGTTTCCTAGTCTGGGAGTGAGACAGTTGCAACTCTTGTCCCCTGAGCCCTGCCCTCTTGACTGCCCAGGCCACCACCACTCAGGATGGCCATAGGAGAGCAGCAGGTCTGCCTATCTGCAAACCCAGACAGATTGTGCTCCTGCACAGGGTCCTGAGGTCCAGAGAAAACTGACAGAGTGGGGCAGCAGGTGGCGAGCCTGGTGTCCTTCAGTGATAACTGATAGGAAAAACATCCTGGGCTGTGTGAGGTCAGGAGTCAGTCTGGGGTCTGGATTATTCCTTTCACAGGCTGAGGTGTATGGCTACGCTGCAAGTCTGTGAAATTTTTATTTGCTTCAAGGGTCATCTTTTCTTCACTTTTCTTCTTGCCTTCTTTGCAATCCTGGGGAAGTCCTACCTGTGGCTTGGTCCAGTGGGGGCAGACAGTGGCAGAGCCCAGCCTGCCATCCACCAGCTCACTACAAGTCTGAGAAATTATTGCATTCATCATTGTACAAACACTGATACAAAAACAAAACCGTTAAAAGTGTTTGCAACCTTCTATATTGATAAGGACCAGGCCCTGCCAGCCTCTTCTGCTGCCTAGGGTCAAGGATGGGGACCCACTGGAGTCAACTGAGCTATGCAAAGGTCTTGGCTTTTTGGATTTACAAGTAGTTTTGAGTCATGATTATTGTAATCTTCCATTATTCAGGAAATAATCAGAGTCTGCATGAACTTTCACACTGACAGGACTTCACACCACCAATTATAAAAAAAAAACAATGGAAATTTATCAAGACACAGGAGATAATTCCAGCTGCAAAAAATCTAAGTCGTATTTATTAATATGAAAAACACATTTTCACTTTTGTGTGGACTGCATATTCTTCAAAGACTGTAGTTAAAACCTTTTTCAAGTATCCATTGCTCACTTTCCTGCTCTCCCTGGGTAAACTGAGCCTGTTCTTTAAACACAATGGAGAGATAACTATCAAGAATCACTTAAAAAAAACACAAAAACTATCACCCTTAAACATGTGTTTGCCAGTCCGGAGAGAAAAAAAAAAAAGTTCTACTTAAAAAGAACTATTCATTTCCCCACAGATGTCATTTACAAAACCCATCTCCCTCTCCACAAAGCCAACTAGCAAGCAAAGCGGCTATGAAGTTCACAGGAAGGAGGGAGAGCTGCGGGAAACACTTTTCCCAGGTCAAATGAGCCAGGGACGCTGCCCTTTCATCCAGGGAGATGACAGGCATTTGTCTCTATCTACAACTTCTAGAAATCACTTGAAAGTCCTCCACTGCATGCCACATCATGTCTTTGCTGTTTCCCCCAATAGAGGGCAACAGTGACTAATTTTGCTCTCAATTTTTCTGTGAAAAGGAACCTAGATCTGAAATTTAAATTTAATTTTTGATTAGACTTTTCTTAACATATTGGCTTTGGGGAAGCATGAAATTGACAACCAGTACATTTGTATAAACTATAATATAATCTATAAAGTGTACATAGACCAATTCCTTGCTGAATAATATCCATGTTACTGGTGACATTCTTTAAGGAAAATGAAGTTTGCCAATGATGATGTATCTGCATATATCAGCTCAAGGTTTTCACACTAAACACATCTCTCTTAAGTCTCTTCCTGATAGAGTGGATAAGCCTGGCTACATGTTTCATGAGGTTTTCTACTATAGCAGATAGGAATATGTTAATTGGGGAAAATCTCTCTTGTTGCAACTCTCCAGGATACTAAAAACAATTACTGCTACTTCCCCTATTGGGAGATAGGGAAACTGAGTCTTGGCATGGTTCTGTGATCTGCCTCAAAAGATCCTGCTCAATGGAAGCACAGCCAGGTCTGAAACCCAATGCTGTTTGACGTTAAGCCGCATCCTTATGGACAGAGACTTGAAGCCCTCCCCTTGAAGATGATAAACACACTTCAGCAAGGAAGTGCAGAGCAGGAAGGACGTGTGCAAGGCAAGAGGATCATCTTCACTATCAGACACACAGAATGCCAAAGAAACACCAGCACTGGTTCAACACCAGCTCCTCCAACTCCATCCCTCAGAAAAAGTGCAAATTCTGATGGGACAAAAATCGAGTAGTTGCTAAGTTAAAATGACTAATCCAAATTAACAATCTAGGAAATGTCAGTATCAATCACATATAACAAATATCTAAAGACCCCTCAAGTTGGGGGTTGACCTGTCAGAGGTAGAAAGGGCAAATTTTAAACTAATCACCACAGGAATCCCTCAGGGTCCATGGCAACAAGGCAGAGGGAAGGGGCAGCTCGCAGGGCAGGGTTCATGCAGCCTCCTAGCCCCAGCCCTCACTGGTGGTACAGAGCATGTGGTACTCACAGCTGGCACTGGTCCCCCTTGACGCCCTTGGTGGCACAGAAGCACCTGCCCGTGTTGGTATCGCACAGCGAGGCATGTCCATTGCACTTGCATGCTGGGAAAAGGAAAAGGAACACAGGACACATCTGGCTTACTAAGGTCAGGATGTAGCTCAGCGGTGCAGTGCTTGCCTTGTATGTGCAAGGCCCTGGATTGGACCCCAGCACCTGCCAAAAACTGGAGTGATTACTATTAGAGACTTTCCTCAAAATAAATGCTTTTTTAAAAATTGAGACGAATTGTATTTGAAAGGAAAGACAGCCTAAGACCTAAAAAGAGCATGCTACAGGGACACTGCTACATCGATGTTCATAGCAGCACAATTCACAATAGCAAGACTGTGGAACCAACCTAGATGCCCTTCAATAGATGAATGGATAAAAAAATGTGGCATTTATACACAATGGAGTATTACTCTGCATTAAAAAATGACAAAATCATAGAATTTGCAGGGAAATGGATGGCATTAGAGCAGATTATGCTAAGTGAAGCTAGCCAATCCCTAAAAAACAAATGCCAAATGTCTTCTTTGATAGAAGGAGAGTAACTAAGAACAGAGTAGGGTCGAAGAGCATGAGAAGAAGATTAACATTAAACAGGGATGAGAGGTGGGAGGGAAAGGGAGAGAGAAGGGAAATTGCATGGAAATGGAAGGAGACCCTCAGAGTTATACAAAAGTACATACAAGAGGAAGTGAGGGGAAAGGGAAAAATAATACAAGGGGGACAAATGAATGTCAGTAGAGGGGGCAGAGAGAGAAGAGGGGAGGGGAGGGGAGGGGAGGGGGGATAGTAGAGGATAGGAAAGGCAGCAGAACACAACAGACACTAGTATGGCAATATGTAAATCAATGGATGTGTAACTGATGTGATTCTGCAATCTGTATATGGGGTAAAAATGGGAGCTCATAACCCACTTGAATCAAAGTGTGAAATATGATATATCAAGAACTATGTAATGTTTTGAACAACCAACAATAAAAAATTAAAAAAAAAAAAAGAAAGGAAAGACAGCCTAAAACAAGAGCAAGGCTTCCATCTGCCAGGAATGAGGAAACAGGGACTATTGAACTCGTTAAAATACACTAGAAGGGCTGAGCGCAGTTCACCATTAAAAACTTATGTGTGGTTTTTCAGGCCCAACCACAGGCCACAGCAAGGGCTTGACCTGGTGGCCTCAAGGGACAACCGCCCTCCCCTCAGCAGACTCAGCACACAGCTAAGCATTTCAGTCTCTGCAGGAGGTGCAGTCAAGGACTTGGGCCTCCAGCCAGTCACTCCTCACATGCACTTTCATTCCCACAGGTCTTCCTCCAAAGCCTCCAGCACAGGTTGGCTTCAGGGTCTCTGCTGAGGCTTATTTAAGGGGGCTGGGGTGGGGGGGTCTGAAAATACTTTCTTCACTCTGACTCAGAGCCCAGGACTTCCCCACTCCCAGTCCTTGCTCCCTCCCTCCCCACAGCCTCAGGGTCTACAATATTGCTGGGAAGGTGCCCTCCATGGGGAGCCGCTGACCACCAGCGCTGAGCCTCCGACTCTCCATTGCTGCACTGTTCCAACAGGGAAGATGGAAATGGGGAAGTCAGCATTTTTCTGGTTTGGGCCCCTTGCTTATCCCATGGCTCAGTGTGGTTAAGGGTTTAACTCTTTCACTGTTGAGCTGCTGCTTCACCAGGCTACTCTCACGTCCAACAGTTCACCTTTCTCTTCCAACTCACTGAGTTCCTGACAATATGACTTAAAAAGAAATGCAGCATCCAAAGCCAAGTGGCTTTTCTCCTCCTAGGTACTCAAGTCAGAGAAGTCCTGTGTTCCACCTGACTTGCACTCAGCAAGTCTGACCCACACTACTTACGCTGGCATTTGCCTCCATTGGTGGGATCACCATAGAAGCCAGATATGCAGGTCTCGCAGTGCTTGCCCGTGGTCAGGTTCTCACACTTCTCACAGATGCTCTGGTTGATGCACTTGCTGTGGCCATTGCACTGGCAAGCTGAAAGGAAAAGGATTTTAGGAGCCTCTATCATGGCAGAACTGGGTGCAGGGAGTTCCATGAAATTTATTTGCATCTCATTGTCTCTAAAAATAAAATCCACCAAACTAACTGGGCATAGGGGAACATGCCAGCTACTGGGAAGGCTGAGGTAGGAAGATGTCATGAGCCCAGGAGTTTGAGGCCAGCCTGGGCAATATAGCAAGACCCTGTCTCAAAATCAAAATAAAACAAGAAAAAAAATCATCAGAACTGACTCACTGAGGGGCTGGGGAGAAGAGTAGAAGTTCATTGGTTTAGACAAAGGGGAATGAAGGGAAGGGAGGGGGAATAGGAATAGGAAAGACAGTAGAATGAATCAGACATAACTTCCCTATGTTCATATATAAATACGTGACCAGTGAAACTCCACATCATGTACAACCACAAAAATGGGGTCCTAATTAGAATAAGTTATACTCTATGTATGTGGAATATGTCAAAATATACTCTATTGTCATGTATATCTAAACAAAATTTTTAAACATTTATTTTTTAGTCGTAGTTGGACACAATACCTTTATTTGATTTATTTATATTTGTGTGATGCTGAGGATCGAACCCAGTGCCTCACACATGCTAGGCAAGCACTGTACCTCTGAGCTACAACCCCAGCCCTTAAAAAGAACAGATTAAAAAAAAAGAAAAAAAAAATGATCCTACTCTGCTAATCCTTACCAAAGGAAGGAAACTCTGTTAAAGACACACCAGGATGAAGTTAATTTTTATTTCCTATTTTCATGAACAAAATATGTTTAAAGAGGGCCCTTGCCAAAATTAAAATCAAGAAAGACTGATCATCTGTGAGAGTTAAGGAGCATGCAAAGAGAGAAAAGAGGAGCAACTAGTGAGTTACAGAAACATCTCTTTAATTCATTGTTGCTTTGGGGGTTATCCTGTTTAATACCAAGCACGAGGGTTGAAAAGTCTGGAATATCTACATAAACAAAACATGACAATCATGCTGCGTTCTCTAAGTCTTTCCTCAGGGAGTGGACCCTGAGAGGGTTCACTGGAATCTCTTGGGCTCAGTGGGCTCTGTTTGCTCTGGAAGCCAAATGAAGCCTGAGAGGAAGAGCTGTTGGAAAAGGTGGAGGAAGGCTGATGGTTCATGAAGATCTATTAGTTGAAACCTAGAGTTTGTGAGCTAATGCAGATCTAAAAAGGCAGAATCTTAGTGAGCAGGTCCAATGCTTTATTTAAATGCCAGGATGCTGGTTACCAAAAGCTGAGAACACTATCAGCTGAAAAGGTCTGAGGCTATCACACTCTTCACAGAAAGGTGGTGAAACCAGTGGTTCTCAAAGTCTAGCTCCAGGACCAGCAGCCTCTGTATCAGCACCCCTGGTAGCTTATTAGAAATGGAAATTCTTTGGCCTTTCTCGGACTCACTGAATCAGAGTTCTGAGTCTGGAACCTTCGGATTCTTTTGCCCTCTAATGTGTGGAAGCCTCAAGGATAAATGAATGGAATATAGTTCAATTAAAAAAAAAACTGACTCACTAGAAACTAATTTGAAAAATAAGATCAAACCATCAAAAACAAATGTACAACTGTATGTACATTTTCTGTACAACATATTATGTAAAACTGTAATGCACCAATAAAAGATGTGAAAAGAAAAAAACATTAGTCCAGAAAAATTAGAAATATTATCACAGTGAGGTAAAAATCCATAGCAATATAAAAATAAATTTTGTTGTTATCCGTTGTAAAAACATAATATATGCTCATGATAGTAGATTTTCAAAAATACAGGGATGGAGAAAGATCATATACTATCCCACCACTTAGAAAATGTGTTCACATTTAGTATCTTTCCTTCCAGTACTTTCCTCTTTTTCTTCTCCATATTTTTATTACAATTATTAGTGCATATTAATTATATAACACACTGGTTTCGTTGTGATAATATCATACCTGCATACAATGAATATACTTCGTTTATATCCTTCTTCCTCCTTTCTTCCTATTTCCCTCCCCTCTTCCTGGTTCCCTTCTTCCCTATGTGAGAAATAGGAAGTCTGGTGGTCCATTTTCAGAATCCAGTATTCAGACTTAATGTAAAACTGGGATGTAAGAAAGGCAGCCAGAGGAACAGAATAGAATGGAAAGATACAATAGCACCATAGCCTATGGAAACCAATTATCTTTTCTGAGCTCCCCAACCTGTATCCAATCACAGCCATTTTGAGCTCCCAACCTGTGTCCACCCCAGTTTTAAAATTAGCCCTTCACATATATTGTAACCCAAGCTCCTCCTATCAGAGCAAGGGGCAGTGCTACCTTAGGGAGAAAAACAAGTGGACTGCCCGCCCAAGTGTACTTGCTTGCCAGACTTCGTTCAGTAGCACCTCCCCAAGAGGTAAATTTTGCCTTGTGGAGCTACTTCCCAAGTATACGTCTGATTCCTCGTGGCACCCCAGTGTTGCTAACACCTATTAGCCCCACTTCTATTTTTATGTCATTCTTTTTTTTTTATAGGTTCCACAAATGAGAGAAAGCATGAGACCCTCGTCTTTCTAAGTTATTTTGCTTAGCATGATGATCTCTAGCTCCATCCATCTTCCCAAAACGGACAAAATTTTGTTACTCTTTATGACAAAGACTACTCCTTTGTGTATATGTAGCACATGTTGTTTACCATTCATCTGCTAAGGGGCACTTGGGCTGATTCCATAACTTGGCTCTTGTGAATGCTGCCAGGATGAACATGGGTATGCAAATATCTCTATGGTATGCTGCCTTTGATTCCTTCAGACATATACCCAGGAGTGTTACAGCTGAATTATATGGTAGTTCTGTTGCTGAAATGGGGTTTGAGGAGGTCCTTAGACAAGGGGACCTCAACTCAGCCCTAGCAGGTTCTTGAGTTACACCACACAGAAAGAATTTTAAGCTTACAGCAACAGTAGAGATTTATTCAGGGATATAAGAAACAGCAGAATATGCATTCAAAGAGACAGGGAGAGCAAATGATTGAGAATGAGACGTGCTTTGGGGGGTGGGTCTCATGTTAGAGTCTGTAAACAAGTCAAAATAACACCTGGCATTTTGCCAGGGGAATGTTAGAGTTCGTAAACAAGTCTGGATGGTGCCTGGCAAAATGCCAGAGGGAGTGGTTTGAGAAGTAACAAAAGTGAGCCATTAAGTGTGGAGATTCCTGATTGGTTGACTGCTGTATCTAGTTTATGCTAATTAGATAAGCTGTGTGGAATGTATAAATACTGCTCCTGTCCTGCAATAAACAGCTCCTACTCCTGCTGTATCAATCTACACAAGTTGTTCCTCACCCCCTGTTATTTTGCTGCAGCCGGACTGCGGCAGTCTCAGACCTCTTTTAAAGGAAACCGTGTACATGGTGAACGTGAGAAGCATGAGAGGTAGCATCAGTCTAAAGAACTCAATTCCTTTCTGGCAGCATGGGCCATGGTAGTCTGGTTCTTTTGAAAATCTTCAGGTTGATATTATCTAGTTAATAGCATTCGGATAGTACCTGTATCATGGGTCTTATTATTTCTCTCTAGGCTCCTTTTAATTAGTTTAAAAATAATTCTGTATGCAAAGTAGGCATAAGATACAAATTAACTAGATTTACAGTAGTCTAAAATGTATTAGACCTTTTATGAATTTAGGCCTGGCAGAAAACAGGCCTCGGGGTGGGGCAGTGAAGGTGAGAGTGTTCATGGAGTTTTTAGATTTAAAGATACAGGCTCTCTTTCTGTCTCTGTTTGTCTCTATTCTACCTATCCTGACTTCTTCTACCTCCCTCATTTTTTTTTTTTTTTTTAGGTTTTTGAGGAATCAGCGTGCTGATTTCTAAAGAGGCTATACTAATTTACATTCCCCCACCAACGGTGTATAAAGTTTCCTTCCCCCACCCCATCCTTGCTAGCATTTATTTGTTTGTTTTCTTGAAGATAGCTGTTGTGATTGGGGTGATATGGAATCTCAATGTAGTTTTGATTTGCATTTCCCTTATGGCTAAAGATGTTGAGCACTTTTTCATAGATTTACTGGCCATTTGTACTTCTTTTGAGAAGTGTCTCTTCGGTTCTTTTGCCCATTTCTTATGTGATGGGCAAAAGAATTATGTGAGGACTTTTTTGTTGTTGTTCAATTTCCCTGAGTTCTTTAATTATTATTAATCCTCTGTCAGATGAAGAACTGGCAAAGATTTTCTCCCATTCCATAGGCTGTCTCCTTGCTCTGTTGATTGTTTCCCTTGCTGTATGAAGCTTTTTATTTTGATATCATCTAATCTGTCAATTCTTGTTATTATCTGGAGCTACTAGAGACCTATTCAGGAAATTGCTGCCTATATCTATCTCTTGAAGTGTTTCCCATATGTTTTCCTCAGGTACTCTTAAAGTTTCAGGTCTTACATAAAGTTCTTTGATCCATTTTGAGTAGATTTTTGTGCAGGTTCAGAGATAGGGATGTGGTTTCAATCTTCTAAGGTGGAAAACCAGTTTTCCCAATACCTCTTGCTGAAGAGTCTTTTCTCCAATGTATATTTTTGGCTCCTTTGCTAAGGTCAGGTGGCTGTAGACACATGGTCTATAGAACTATGTGTCTTATTTTTATGTGGATATCAAGCTGTTTGTGTTACAATGACTCTAATATATTTTTATCCGGGTATTATGATACCTTTGACACTGGTTTTTTTTTTTTCTTTTCCCCCAAGGCCATGGCTGAGGTTTATTGTGAAAGTTTGTGGGTGAGGCTGGGATGGAGCATGTTCTAAGAGGCTGAGTCAGAGGCCTCTGAGCTGTCCTCAACAACTGTGCTCTCTGAGGTCTAGCTGACCTCACTGAGGTCCTTGCTGTCCCCACCACTATCCTCAGCAGCCAGGTGCTTCTCAAGACAGGCCTCTCCTGAGCTTGGAAGTGAATTGCCTTTGCTCTCCACCTTGTTCTCTATGGACCTGGTACTCTGTGTCTGCCTTTTCCTTCAGCTCC